TGTCTGACACCTCTGTTCACTCATCATTGTTCTGGGTTGCATCCTAGAGAAAGTTAGTTCTTTACTAAGGAAACTTTATTTAGCCTAACAGGCATTCTGGCTATAACAATGGGATATCAAATAGTAGATTAAAGATCAAGGTGTTGGGGATGCAGAATATTTGTAAATAGTAAAGACTCGAGGAATCCAGGATGTTGATATATGTAGAAAGCAAAAGAACCAATGAATTCAGTGTCGATTCATTACAAATTTTAGAATTGTATATACAGTAGAGGGTAAAATTAAAAAATAAAAGCTTACTGAATTGCAGTACTGCAATCAAATTATATAACGTCTACAGAGTTAATAAAAGTAAAAATAAAAAGTTATTATGGGTCAATGACAATTATAGATAAGATGCTTGAAAATGGTGAAAAAATTAAGAAAATGTTTGTGATAAAGTTGTTTGCTACAAGTATTAATTTAGGAATGCATTTTCTTTTGTTTAGTCTAGGACTCTGGGTATGATAGATGTCAGGGTTTACTAGTAAATTTAGATTATTGATAAATATAAGAAATTGTAAATTAAGAGTTAGGCATGCTAATAAGCTTAAATTTTTTACACTAAGTGATTTATTGTGTCTTGGATTAGTCAAAAACTAAAAAGAGGAACTAATTGCTATAACTATGTGAAAGTTTGGTCATGGTAAAAGTTATTCTACATTTTTTTATTCCATTTAACATTATTTACTTGTTAATTTATAAAGTAATAATTTAATGTGTCTATAATTTTAGTAGTGCATTAACTGTAAGGAAACTAAGGGCCTCGTAGCCTGGTGGATAGCGTGCAGGACTCGTAATTATGTGGCGCGGGTTCGATTCCTGCACGAGGCAGAAACAAATGGGCAAAGTTTCTTTCACCCTGAATGCCCCTGTTACCTAGCAGTAAATAGGTACCTGGGAGTTAGTCAGCTGTCACGGGCTGCTTCCTGGGGGTGGAGGCCTGGTCGAGGACCGGGCCGCGGGGACACTAAAAAGCCCCGAAATCATCTCAAGATAACCTCAAGATAAACTGGGCTAGGAACCCATTTTCTCTGTATTTAACAAACTAAAGAGCAAGTAATTCCTTTGCCCTCATGAAAATGAGAAATGGGGCAGTGAAAATTATGGTTTATACAGTATATATATATACAGTATTTATCATTTCTATCATACTTTAACATCTCATAATTTACACACCTTGATTTAAGATTGGTATTGTATACAATTGATTTTTCCTTCAGTCATAAACATTAGATATGCGAATCATGTTTCAAATTCAGTATAGTACAGTAGTTTGTAATAGTAGAGATCTTAGGTTTGCCACACAACGTTGAGACAAAAAAGAAAGACTGAGACATATTGATGGCAAGTATCTGTTACATTACTTTGATTTGTGGCCTGCCTTAGTGTCTAAAATAGCTTGAGTTATAGCATTGTGCCTAGGTCTGTTTATTTCAGAATGTGTATTGTATTTAAATATTTTAAAGACATAAGGCATGTTTATTTTTGTATCTATGGTCAAAAGACTCTCTACTTCATGCATAATCCCAATTTTTTTGTAATATGAATTGCAGTTTTATTTGGCTAAATAATAAAATGTACCCGTATGTACTAGTGAGGATATTGGAGCAAACTCATGCACATTACAGTACATAAAGAACTTGTATTTCTTATTAACTCTATTCCTGACCCCATCCCCAGACAAGTATCCTTGTAAATGGTCTAGTTACTATCTCACTTTCTTTATTTTCATTGACACGTTTAACTCGAGCCACCACCAAGCGACCACCTCTCTGTAATCCCTAACAGTCGGCAATACCCTCTTAATTGCTTTGCAGGTTCTCTAGCGACACTGCATTGGTCTCATTGGTTTTCCCAGCCTCTGGTTCTTTCTTTTTTCCTGCATTTTTGCTTCGCCATGCTTCTATTTTTTAAAAATGCATCGTGGCTGTAAATAGAGGTATGTATTACACTACATTGATGTGCACCCTCTGTAATGGCTGGAGTTACACTTACCACCATTTCTCTCCACATCTTTTCCATGATGACCATTTGCAGAGATAATTGTCTAAGCAGGGGGAACAAGGTGAACGAGTGCCTAGTGGTAGGTATGAGTCATTGGGAGATCCTAATGGCTCCAGTCTAGGAAGCATTTGAGGGACTAGATCAGAAAATGCACCATATATTTATTTCACTCACCACTTTAATTTATTTTGCCTATGCAATTTCCTATGTAATTTAAGCACCTATAGTTTTTTTTTTATCTAAAATTACAGTTGAAAAGTTCATAAATTATGCAAGTAATAAGCACTTAGAGTAATTAGTTTTTGCTACAGTGCCTGTGTACTGCCTTTTGATGCCGCATTTAATAAGCAAACTTCACACACTCTTCATTAAATTGTTTTTATTTTAGTTCTTTGTTTCATTGATGCATGTGTAGCTGCCTTTTTGTTTAGTTTTTTGCACTTTCTTCCTCCTATTATCCAGCTTGTGGGAATAAGTTTTAGTTTCCTATTTTCTGTCCTTTTTTATTTGTACTTTAGATGATTTCACTACAGACAGTTGTTGTCTGAACTCTTTAAAATACACAACATGGGGAAACATTATATATACATTTTCATAATTTACTTGAGGACTGCTAACCCTAATGGCCTCGAAGAGGACAGGAAGCCGGCAGCTTGTCGAAGGTCCCCACTATTTGCCTTGATATATTTGATATAGTGGTTATTGTGGTTGATGTATAGCGATACGGCATTGGGACACTGCGTGTCGTAAGATGAGGCTGTAGAGTGCAGGTGGTCTGTCAAGTCATGGCTGTAGAGTAAGTCTGGGGATATGGCTGGGCCAAGGCATCATAGGTGTTGCTGTTCCTAGTTGCTCTATAGTGGTACTGCTGGTGATGAAATTGCAGTGATTTTGATGTTGTACTCTTGCGGCCTTGTGTATTCATCTACCGGCTCTGACTCGTGTTGCTTGTTGATTGGTTGAGTAGTAGTGTATGGATGGAGCAGTACTTGCTAATGGCAATGATGTAGCTGCTACAGTATTCTGATGTAGCTGCTACATATTGAAGTCATATAGTGGAAACAAATGGTGTCTACTTGAATTACTTATGTTTTAGCTCTGGCGGTAAGTGGTACTGAATATTAGGTTGGTTCTGAGAGATGCACAGAAACAAGATATTAAATAAATTCTACTGTTAGCGAAACTAAAATAATAGTTGGAAAAACACTCATCATACTTTTGCTGTTCATTACTCTGTAATTGTTGTGGATTCTTTTCCCTGTCTTAAATTCGTATAAATTTCAGGTAGGAAGCCACAAAGCATATACAAATTTTAATAATTCAAAAATGGTTTGTGTTTGGGAACAGGCAGTCAGTGTATATATACAAGTTGGTCTTGTATTGAGGTCACCTCCCCACTTCCTCAGCAAGGTCAAACTAATGATCCTTCCAAGATGCAACAGTACAACAAGCTGACTAACTCCTGGGTATCTATTTAGTGCTAGGTGAACTGGTCATTAGGTGATAGGAAATGCCCCTAATCATTTGAGTCCCACCCAGGATATGAACCCAGGATTCCCAATTGTGAGATGAAAATGAACCTGACTGTATGTACTTCCTGAACCCTGAATGAAATTTGCAAAAGGCAGTCATATATTGCAAACTAAATCTTGTGTTATTGAAATACCATATGCAGAATAATTTTTAAACCAAGAAAATTGTTTATAACCCAATTTACTAAACTATGTTCTGCATGTATTTAACTCTCTTATGAATAGACCAACTAGTACGTCTTAAGTGCTAAGAAATCAAAATGTGCGTAAATATATATCTGTCCCAACTGGGTTCAAATCATGGGTGGAACAGAAATGTTGGGCACGTTTCTTATCACCTAACGTCTCTGTTCACCTAGCAGTGAATATGTACCTGGGAGTTAGTGAGCTTGTTCGGGAGTTGAATCCTAGGGGGATCTTGATATATGCTTAGCATATATACATATTTTTTTTTTTTTTTTTTTTTTTTTTTTTTGTGTGTGTGTGTGTGTGTGTGTGTGTGTGTGTGTGTGTGTAAGTGTGTGTAAATACTATCATTTATTATTATTAAGGTTGTAGTGTCACAGAAAACTAATCTTAAAGCATATTTCTTTAATACTGTACTGTACTGTGATTACAAAACATACGGATGAAGAATAGTGAAAAAAGAAAGCTTTGAATAAACAAGTATGTAGTCTAGAGTGCATGGAAAGCATTTCTGATATGAAGGGGCATTATAGGAGTTGTTTATACAGTACAAGTTGAAATACACAGGTTACATGAAAGGAAGTTCTAGGAGATTGGGACAACACTGGCTGATGGACTCTGCCGTATTATTTCCAAGGTGTTTGTCAGAAGTTTTATTTCTGCATACATTTAATTAACACCTATCTAGATTATATCTAACAAGGTGGTGTTGGGTCAATGACGTGTAGGAAGTGTGTGGTTGTGAAGTTACCAGGGGTGATGGATCAGGGTGGTGAAGAGTCGTGAAGATGTGGTATCAGAAGTGTAGGATTAAGACCACTTCATAAACCAAGAATAAATATGAAGAAAGAGGAAACCAAATAAGCTGCGAGGCTAATAATAATGGGAAGGAAGAAAAGAGAAACTTTGTAAGCAATGAAGATACAGTACAGTACTGATAAACGAAGGTTTCGGAAATGTTGTGGGATATATGTACAGTATACAGTACTGTATATATTTGGAGGAGACTCGACAAGAATATCTTGCTTTGTGTTAGGAGGTAGTATTTGCATAGCTGTATTTGTGAGGATTGAACTATGGCTCTTGGATCCCATCTCTTGTTACTTGATAGATTTGGTATAAAGTAAACATTGCTGATATTACAAGGTGTGTGAGCTTTTATTTATAGCATTCAAGATCTCATAAGAATAGTACATTCATGTTAGCATGAAATTAATTTGCATTGTCTTTCTCCAGCAGCAACATGCGCCGCACATTTGATACTGTGCGCATGACAGGCAAATACATCGGCTCAGGATCACAGGGTTCTCTCAGCTCCTTGGGATATGGAGGATCGGTGCACTCCACGCCCACCCGCCATCCTCACACCCCATCACATATGGCAACTCCTACACACATGGTATCCAGTGGGGGCACCTATGCTATGTCTTATATGGGTTCCCAAGGCTCGTCTGTCTATTCTGGGGGATCAGGACATCCATCTTTGGATTCGGGTGCAGATTCTGATGCTTCTTTGCACACAGATTCAGAGGATAATTACCCGTTAGTATTTCTTTGCACATTTGTTTAGCTTTTATATTCTTTTCTTCATTGAGAGCACTATGTAAGCTTATGATGCCCACATTTTTCATTCTGTATTTAGAGTGTAAATAGGAAAATTGCATCATTCATGTGCATGTTAAATCATTATGAAGAATCTTTCAGCAGATTCTTCATGTAGCCTCGTTTCATCACTCGGCTTAGTTTACAAGGCAAAAATAATTTTAAAGTGCTCAAAGAAGATTCTGCATGAAGTTACAGCAAATGGCCTTTTAAATAATTATGTAAAGAGCAAAATGTTTGTTACTGTATTTAAATTCTGCTTTATTTGCTAGCATCTTAGGTTTAATTATTGTGATTAATTGTAATAGTATTGTAAAGTATGTTAACAAATTATTAACTGCAGGAGAGAGAGACTTACATATATTTATCTAACACAGAGCGAGCCACTTGGGTGTACCAGGCTGGCCAGGAACACCTGACCTAGACTCGTGCTTGCGTCGGCTTGGCCCTGCAAATCGTTCAGGAACACCATCGCAGTTCTTGCCTTACGGATGCCGCACTCCAGATTCCATTATGTCTACTGGTAAGAGGACACATTTTTTATTGCAATATAGTCTATCCTCTTACCTTGAGGTTACCTTGAGGTGCTTCCGGGGCTTAGCGTCCCCGCGGCCCGGTCGTCGACCAGGCCTCCTGGTTGCCGGACTGATCAACCAGGCTGTTGGACGCGGCTGCTCGCAGCCTGACGTACGAGTCACAGCCTGGTTGATCAGGTATCCTTTGGAGGCTTATCTTCCATAAGTATTATTTTGGCAATAGTTATTTAGCACAGATTCTGTTCATGAACATATAAGATTGGTCAATTAAAGTAATATTTTTCCAAATAGGAAGTGGAAAGTCTGGCTTGAGCGCTTATGGAGGCATCAATGCTAGTGATTGGAAGCTGCCTCAGAAGCTCCAAATAGTAAAGCCGATTGAGGGATCATTGACTCTTCATCAGTGGTCTCGATTGGCAACACCACATTTTGGAGGCCTGCTCGAGGAGAGAGACGGTGTTGCTATCAAGGTAAATATAACTCTAATTTGTGATGGAAGGTGGATGGGTGGGTAGATGGAGGGAGGCAGGTGGGAATGTTGGGTAGGAGGGAGGGAGGGAGGGAGGTGGTAGTGTGGGGGAGGGTGGAGGAGAGTTGGATGTGTGGCAATCCACCTCCCCCCCTCCAACCTCCCTCCACCCTCCCACCATCCACCCCCTCCCACCCACCCTCCCTCCCTCCCTTCATCCTCCATCCCTGCACCCTCCCTCCCTTCACCCTCTCTCCCCCCTCTCTCCCTCCCTTCCTCCCCCTCCCATCCCACCCTTCCTCCCCCTCCCATCCCACCCTCCCTTCCTCCCACCCTCCCTTTCTCCCACCCTCCCTTTCTCCCACCCTCCCTTTCTCCCACCCTCCCTTCCTCCCACCCTCCCTTCCTCTCCCCTCCCACTTCCCTCCCTCCCTTCACCCTCCCCTCCTTTCACCCACCCACCCTCCCTCTCTCCCTCCCTCCCCCTCCCTTCCTCCCCCTCCCACCCCACCCTCCCTCCCTCCCTCCCTTTCTCCCACCCTCCCTTCCTCCCACCCTCCCACCCTCTCCCACCTCCCCCCTCTCCTCCCTCATATTACAATATATAAAATATATATATATATATATATATATATATATATATATATATATATATATATATATATATATATATATATATATATATTTTTTTTTTATCACAGCACAATGAATTTAATAAATACACTGTGATTACCAGATTTATAACAAATATAGGAGCAGAATGTAAAATCTTTAATCCAAGCTGTTTTTTGTCTTAATCTCAAGTAATAATCTTCACCTTAATTTTATCTTGAGCAATAAAATTAAAAATTACTTTATCTCCACCAGGGTGGTGCTGGTGCTGAGCAATTGAATCTAGATGTTTACTCAATGTCTGACTTGGAGGAGGACGAAGTTGAAGAGGAGAACCCAGGCAAGAGGTTCATGTCTACCTCAAGTGTGTTCACATATACTAACTCAACCATACTGCATCCAGATGATCAGACGAATCTCACTCCAAGGTTAATATTTGTCCTCTTTATAAAAGTATCCAAACCTTGCATAGTGATCACCCCACACATGAAGATCAGTTCTTATACCATCTATAAATACTGAATCCACATGTTTTACTTCCCTCTTCCTAAGAGTAATTCATGATTGTACTATGAACAATATAAATTTTATGTACATCTAACAAGCTATGCCCGAAATGCTACGTATGTTAATGTTATATATGCTGGTGTTTTTACATTCTTGCAAAGCCACTAATGTATTCTCACAAATCCATTGTATAAGTAAAATAAAAGCTGCCACTAGCATTATAACACATTCAACATTTGTTTTTTCATCCATTGTGCAAGTACTGCACTGTATTTAGCATGGGAGAAAAGCAAGCACCACCACACTCCATCACTTGCCCACAGCAACTCAAACCACTGTCATTCAGTCTTGTCCATTGCCAAATCCCCTAAACTATTCCCCCCTTCCCTACCATGTCTCTTAATAATTTCAGTCTTTATTGCCACTTACCCTCAGATTCACTCGATAAAAACATCCATTTACCAATTTATCTTTCAATATCCACATTAACAAATCTTTGTAAACTCTTAGTCTAGCTATTTATCCAATTTTTGCACTCACTGGCATTTTCCTTTCTTGCTCTTTATTTTTCGGGCCTCATCCTGATAATACTTAAATTTTTATGTGCTCTAATTTTATATGGTTCCTTGTTCATACTATGCTATTGTCACATTCTGGTTGCATCTTTTCCTAATTTAGTTAAAAAAATACAAAGTTTTCTTTGCACTTCATTTTGTGATCCACTCTATTCTTAATTTGCACAAATTCTATCTTCTCCATTATTCATCCCATGTATTTAAACTGATCAACCACTTATCATTCCACTTATTGACATTTCTTTTACATTCAGAATTCTCATTTCTTGCTACTGTACTTTCTTAACATTTCCTTGTTCTCATTCACTTTTAACACTCCTATTTCCCTACCAATTGTAAACTGGCTTTAATTGTTGCAACTTGACAATAAATACTATAGGTGTAATTTATTATAAACATAAAGGAATAAAAATGTAAGGAAATTTTAATAAAGGAAAAAATGGGTTTGATGTAATTGTGTCTTCTTGCATTAGAGCTCAATATCTATAGCAATTTTGTATTGTTAATGCCTAGGTCATCTGCATTAAGCCTAGTGTTTCCATATTTGATTTTTGCTGTCCTATGTATAGCAAAGAATAAATCATAGATTTGTTGCAAAAGCCATAAGATTTTTTGAATCATAAACAGAATTTTCATGGAACCGTATTCTTTAAAAAGTGTTACAAATTTGTGTTTGCAAATGTTTCATCATTCCACCTCCCTCCTTCCATCTCATGAAAATGCATCATAGAGTCCCAAGTCCCATCAAGATGTCATGAAAACCACTGATATAGATTATGTAATTGTTTCTCTGTTTTGTGAATTAGTCTGTTACTAGATATGTTCAAATGCATTACAAAATTTGATTTTTTTCAGTCTTCGTCAAACTCAAGTCAGTGTTCTTGCAACTTCATCATCCAATGTTGCCCCAACGCCCAGTACCCCTATACGGGCCCCTTCATGTCCTCCATCACGACGCGGTTCGACTGCCACCTTTTCCACAAATACCGGGTTAGCAAAGGTACTAAATGAGCGAGGAATGAACTTGACAAGTGGATTTTCACCAACTGCTACACCAGCCAATAGTCCAACAAATTCCAGACCAGGATCACCAGAACCAGAGGGTTACAAATTACCAGGTTAGTATCTATTACCAATGTAAAGGAATCCCTGCTAAAATTTAAATGTTTACACTAAATGTAGTTAAAATCACTACAGCACTGTATTACTAAAACATCACCATGTGATGGAATCTGAAAGTGCCTTTTTTTCAGGTCTGGAGGATCTTACTAAAACCTTCCACTATGGAGCTAGTCTCCTCCGTCGCACTTTCTACAAAGATGATCCATCAGCCCCTCAGTCACCAGCAGGCCCACGTGTAAATTTAGTTGAGCAAGTTCAGGCCATTGGTGTAAATCGTTTTGTTGGGCCATCTGACCGAGCACTAACTGTTGGTGGAATTGTGATGTCGCGTCCAGCAACTTCACCACTCTTACACCTCTCCAATCTCATTATGAGTAATGCAAAGAACTCTAATACTAATAGCACAATATCCACCACTACAACCACTTCTACATATTCTTCTTCAGATAATGGTGCAATCATGTCAGCACCTAAGATTCTCTCTCCAGGTGAGAGACGCCCTACCCTTCCCTCTGGTGCCCCTCTGGGTATTCCAGGACATCCAGGATCAGGTCACTTAAATAATCGTCTTAGTCAGCTCAAACCTGGTCAACGTGCAGACTTGGGAACTGTTGGGGGACGTTTAAGACCTAGTTCTTTAGGTAGTGTACCTCCACGTGGTAATGGAGGAGAACAAAATGTTGGCACTGTGGGGTGGACATCATTTGGTCGCAAAGGGGGGCTTCTGTAGGTCCTAATTCATTTTTACTTTCCCTAATGGGTTATGATCTGTGTAAGTTCTGCCCCTTTCAGTACATACTTGCAATAACATTCTAGAATTTGTGTTGGTCTTTTCCTGTTTGGTGGTAAATATCTAGCACCTGAAGGAAATGCATTAAATTGAGAAGCAGTATTATCTGGCATATATATTGCTAACAGGGCCAGCACTTTTTTCAAGTGTTACTATACTTATTATATAATAATGTGAGTAGAGGATTTGAATGGATGAATGGATTTTGGGGTGTTATATGGAGATGTGTCTGTTTTAACAAACATACTGTATTTTCTGTTTTTTTTAGTTACTATGTAACTAGTCATCTTGGGATTAGGGATCAAAGAACACTTAATATTTATTTAGTTATATTTTAGTGATATTGTCGTGAGTGTAAGACCAAGGTTTATACCAACTTCCTTTTGATGCACTTTGTGTTAGGGGTTTATACATGTGTTGATATTTTCACAACTTGAACAAAATCTGTAAATTTTGTGATTGGGTTTTTCTAAAGCTTTTTAAGCAAATGCTTGGTCTACCAGTCAAACCCGTGCCAAATAATTTATAAATGTTTGTTGTTACTTGGACACCTTCTGCAGCTATTCAAGTTACTTTTAATATGTTTAAAATATATTTTCCAAACAAAAATTGCACATCTTCTAGTTAGTCAATTTTATTCAATGATTCTGACTGAGCAAGGAGTACATTTCCAGTGACATTTTTAGCTTTGACATTGCCTTCCAAATGATTACTGAAGACAGTAATTTGAGAGCATAGGTTTGTCATTTTGAACTTGAATGTCAGTCATAATCATTGATACATTTTTTGAGACAAACAGGAATGTTATAAATGTAAGGTAGGAACGATGTCACAGCACATGTTGACTTTGGTTGTACAAGCGGCAGAAGGGGTCTCGTGAGGGAGATCCAAGCCTTCTAGTCACAAATGTACTGTCAGAACTTTATACTTGATTCCTTAGCATATACAATATTTGCATGTTCCTCTTTTTTAAACAAGTAAAAAAGTTTCTGA